CCTTGGGGACTCATTCCTCCAATGGAAAACAGTCCAGAAGGCCATCAGCGTACCATTTCATGGCTGTGCTGTAACCCAGACAGTCCTCTTCTTCACTGTTCCATTTTAAAGAGCTGGAGCAATACATCTATTTCCATTGGCACCCACGTGCTTACAGCACATATTCACTGATGCTAAAAGGGGTTATTATTAAGATGAAAAAGCTCAGGTAAATTGAACTATAAAAATATGTGGACAAGACAATAATTACAGTGCTAAGAATAGTGAATGAAACACCTTTTGTTCTGGTTTTGTCTACCACTTGCACCACAACCATTATAGTAACTTGCTGTTGTAGGAAATTCATACTGTAAGAGCCTTGCTAACAAATAACACCTGGAAGGTTTTTTTGTCTATAGTACTTGTCAGATATATAGTGACCTTCTATGTTAACTGCAGTGGCTAAGGTGGAATCATTATGCACAGTTGAGGCACTGACAAAGTGTAAGTATCTTCTAATTTTTGGCAGATACCTACAGGACAAAAGCAAGGACAGAAGTGTTGAGATAGTAGGGAGACAATAGGTAAAATGTCAGAATAGAAAGACAGATGCAGCCCTACTGGTTACTTGCTAAAACTAAACAACTATCTGGGAGGGAGGGAGGGGACAAAGCTATTTGACTTAGCAGGAAAACTGAGCAGCAGGAGTGAAAAAATGAGGTATTTCCCTACTTGGCAGCTCATGTTCAAGAAAGAAACAAATAAAAAGATATAACTACAAGAAATGCAAGAGAAGAGGAGGGTCCCTTTTGCCTTTGGACACTTTTAATAGTACCAAAACACCTATTAGTTTTTAAAGCCCTCAGGAGAGTGTGCACAGGACTTGCTCTAGAATTAGAATGGAAAACTGCCAGCAAAACTCAGCATTTCAGTCTCTTTATCACCACCAGCACATACCTGCTATAACAACTTCCCACTTACATTGCATTTTTTACTATCAAATCATTTGACAAGCTTTAAACTAGTATTTTTTTTTTTCAGTTTCTGCCAACTTAAGAGGAAGGAGTATCCAGAATGCCCCTGAAAATCTAGAACTGCAATATAAAGCATTTATATACCATGTCTGTGGGCTACAACTTGAAAAAGCAACACAGAACTCTGAAGCTCCTCTCAGCAAAGGATAATGAGTTGCAATACTCATGGCACAAAGCAATCCCTTGCTCCTTTGTTCCAAGCATGTTCCTCTTCCTACCTGCCTAATTCATCTTCTGCCTCATTAAATGGTGCAGCTCCTTCCTCTCTGGCCACAGAATAAAGGTCTCACACTTTGTAAAGTTTCTCCTACAGTCTCAGCTCCAAAACTTTCTAGATATGAAGAGCTCATCTGCATTGCTGCAGCCTGTACAACTTTGTAACACCTGAGATAAATAACCACATTTATATTCTTATAACTGGATTTTAGAGGCACTACTGTGACTGGTCATACTTCTCTTGCTATTAATCAGTGAATTTTAAAGTCAACTGTATTCTTTGACCTCTGTTTGACAGTCTCTGTTTAGGCTCTCACTAGCAGCATATCAGTAACATAGTGGTCTAACACCATTCAAAAGAGTAAAAACTTCAATGACAGTGTTCCTGATGAGGTGGAATGCTGGTGGGAGAAAAGGTAATAAAGGAGAAAAAAAAATAAAATTTAAAAGAGTAAAGGCAATGCTGAGAATATGGTGACTTAAAAACAGGTGAAAGGAGGGGGCAGAAAAGACAGAAGTTTCAAAACCGTGATTTAGTGTTGTTTTTATGCTGAGATAAAATTTAACATCTCTAGTCCTTTGAATGGGGAAAGACACAATTATTTTTAGCAGAGCTTTTGTTTCTCATTCCATTTCTCTTCACAAATGGAGGGGGGGGGGAAAAAGCTTCCAATCTTCCAGTATTAAAGTCACCATGGCACATAATTAATTTTAAGCTGGAACCCAGTCTTAATGGGAAGCCTTTCTCATTTACAATGTTTTATTTATTGGTGCATCTATATAAGCAAAATGGGCTGCTTCTCCCATTTTCACTTTAGAAAGTGGCAAGGAATTTGAGCAGGGCTGATATCAAAGATTTTTTTTCTATATCAGGAAAAAGCAGAACAGGAAGTTGAAATCCAAAATTAATTTGGATTTTCTTTTTCCAATGTATCTAAAATTAAATATTTTTTTCCTGCAAACTACTCATTATAATGAGTAAAATTAATTAGCAAGTTTTTATACTAGTACATTTCCGTACTTACTCTAGTGAATATGTTGAAAAGCACCTATTAACTGAGGTTGTCATAGCAGGAGTGTTCACCAATCAAGAAAAAGACACTCAAGAATGAAATTATACCTCACAGATTCTGCACCACCTTTTTGTGAATATCTTGGAATAAAACACTGCTAACTGGCAAGGAGAAATCATGTTGACTTATATTGTGATAATAAGAAAAACAAAATCCAACCTCAACTAAATCTAATTCATGTGAAAGAAAAAATGCAGGCAAATATTAGTTGAATAATTTAAGTTTCCTGTTGTATAGTTCCACATTAATATCATCGAGAATTACGTAAAAGAGGGCGATCTTCTACCCTCCTATTTAAAACAAACAAACCAGAAAGCACAGCAAACACCTACCTTTTCTTCTTCACAGATGATGACAAAATGTTGTCCTGAATTGCCTTACATTTCGAAGCCTGTTCGAACTGGTAAATTCCATTTTTACTAACAGTTGTTCTG